AAAACAAACAACGAACGTTAAAGTAATGAGCTAGTAAATCGCCCCAGTGACGAGTACCGTGTTTGTTTTTTACTAATACGCCTAGCAAACTCTCTTGAGCAAAGCAACTCGTATTAATCAAACTACCAAAATTTTCATGTTGCATAGAAAAATGAATATGAAAATGAAGAACTAAATTCTCTAAACCATGGTAGAATTTTGAATGATCTTTGTAATAAATAGTTATTAATTGATGAGCCAAAATACTACTTCTGTTGCCAAATTGTTTTGGCCCATGCAGCATCTATTATAAGGCAACAAAATGAAAAATAATACTTATGTAATAAAAAGAAACATACACGAATAGCACAAACAAACAAAGCTACATGAGCAAATTTATCCACAGGCATATAGTCATAAAAGAACGGCAGTAGGGCATATAATAATAAATTTTTCACTTCTGATGCTCTAAAAGAATATCAAAATGCTATGACATAATAATAATCAAGAATATTAATAAATGATTAATTATATGTTTCTACATGTTCGAATTATTTTAATGAACACAGGCATAAAATTATAAAAAGTCATCAGAATAAATATAATATGTTAGGTTTGAAGTACAAATAGAATGTTTTATAAATCGAAAGATAAAACAAAACAATGCATATGAAATTTTTTATATCTTTATTGATGAACTTGCGGCACTACTTGCGTCATCATCAGTTTTAGTCGAAAAAAATATTTCGGTAACAAAAGCAATATAAAGTTCAGGACCCAATGATTCATTAACCTTATCCATTGGATAATCAATGGATAAAATCAATGAATCATTGGGTCCTGAACTTTATATTGCTTTTGTTACCGAAATATTTTTTTCGATTAAAACTGATGATGACGCAAATAGTGTCGCAAATTCATCAATAAAGATATAAAAAAAATTTCATAAGAATTTTTTTGCCTTATCCTTACGTACAATATGTACACTAGCATGTCAAAAGCGCAGTAAAAATATGTTCGTAACAACTAGGAAGATGTTATGTTCTAATAACTTAACTATTCATTCATTAGATCAGAACCTGTCAATCATAATAAACATGAACGGTAGAAAAACAATAATTTTTGCAAGATATTTTCTGAACGTAATCATTGAGACATCGTCTTTTTGCTTCCTGTCATACACAATGTATAGATGCATTGAGATTGGGCGATCGTAGGTTAGAAAAAAAATGTCAATACATATTTTATATTAAACAAGTGCAGCCTAATAAAGTCAAAATGCAAATGCTAAGAACTAAATGTTTATATTACGATGCAAAATAAATTAAAAGAAAGCATTTTTTTTGTTTTTTCAATCAGTTTATGTATTTTAAGTTTAGAACAGTAGGAGGGGTTTCATTTTATAAATGTTTTTTAAAAGTAAATAAAACCGCTAATCTTGTTAAAAGTATTTAATGAAATATTGGATTTCGGTAATAAGCAACAATGTCTAATTAAAATAAAATGATCTGATCGTTCTAGTATTTCTTGTTAACTTTGAGAGGGATATACTTTTTAAATAATCTTAGTCTTACAAATTCTACGAGTTGTATGCAAATTGAACGTACTTAATATGTCCAGCATTGATAGGTCTCAACTTTCTATTAAATGTATGTGGAAATTTTTGAAAACGTAGTTTGTTGTCGATTTCTATTCTTATTTTTGGAGAAAAACTTTGGTATATTTGTAAAACAACACATCGTGTGTGCCGAAGTAAGGTGATATGCATGTAATCCATTAATATTCCATGTGGCAGTGGGACATCAAGAATCTCATGAAAAAATGATATACCAAGATGACCATTCACATTTGTACCATTTACTTCAGCTTCTTTCGATTCGTTTATATAACTATTAATACTTCGCATAGTTGGTGTTTTTTCAAATGGGTATTGTCGTTTTTTACCAATATGAATACCTTCTATTTTACAAAACCAACAACAATAATATCCATTATTACCGATATGATTAAGTGCTAGTTTTAATGCTGGACAATCGCCTATAATACCAACAAAGTACAAAAACCACTTTTGTCCATCACGAATCGACAAACCTAAATAAAACAACGAAAAATAGGCAAAAAGGTGCCTTCTTCTTCATGAAACGCTACAATTGTTACAGCTGACGTAATTTTACATATGTCTCCGCAAATATTAATAGCAATTACTATCCGTTTTGAAAAATAATATACCTTTTTTCATTATTAATTTCTAAAAATGGAAAAACTTTGTTGATAAGGTTTTTTGAGGGACATAAAAGCAGATGATTGCGATTAATTTTGAAACGAAAGGACATCTACAAATATTGGATAATTAAACAAGTTATATACACTAAAATCCATTTTTTATCTTGTATAATTGCATTGTATTTTCCGAAAATCAGCTTATAATAAATCCGTGAAAATATATAATTCGACTAGTTTTCTTTCAAACAAAAAATTTTATATATTTCTGTTCCAGTAATGATGAACTTTCTGTGTTTAATGAAGACAGTAAAAATAGCAGAAGCAATTCTATGAAGATTCTGCCTTGTGCGATAATTGCATGTTCTTGCTATCGAAAAAAATCAATACTCAGTTCAATCGTTTCTGATGTATAAAAATACGAATTGACTGTTCTTAAGTATGAATTTGTGAAAATGCAAGATGGAGGTGTTACAAGATATAGCTTTGTATAACAATTTCAGAAGGTTCGTGGAAAAGACAAAACCATGGATATATCAAGGACATGTTGTTTGATGTAGGTGATTTTCTATAAAAAATGATTTCTACATCTTACAATATTATTGAGAAACTCAAAAGTCCCATTTTACTCATAAATATGGCATATATATATTTGATCTAGCGAATATTAAAATTTTGATAGAACTAAAATAAATTCTTCAATTATCCTAAAATTAATATTTTGAATATGGTTAGTATCTAGATTTTAACTCAGATCTAACACTTTAAAATAATTTATTCATTTATATACCTGATGACTTAAGTGTTTTTAAATTTTGAACACACTCACGTAACCAAAGTTTGATAATTGGTTGGCGAACCCCAACCCACATTGAAATTACAATCATATTGCTATGTCGATTACGTAGATAAGGTGGAAGTTCTAATATGGAACAGGAAAGTACCCACAAAGTTAATTTGCTAGATTTTCCAAGTGGAACGCCATCGAGGTGAAATATAGCGCTAATAAAAGGTTGACGAATGGTGGATGTTAAAAGAGACCTATAAACCTTCTGAAATGGAATATCATTGTTAATTTCATCATTTTGTTGATTCAATATCTTTTCACGATATTTAACTATATCAACAAAATGTCTTTCCAGCATGTCTGTAAAAACTAAGGCACAGTCGACATCATAAATATCTGCCAGTTGTGTGTTATCATTCAATTTGCATTTAAAGCACGAAACAGTTGTATATTCCACATCCGATTGACATGATAAGCAAACGCGTCTCTTTGTGAATAAATTGTCGACTGAACAAACAATAAATAAAAAATTAGAAACCAAATCAGAATAATTATTTAATAAAAAGCTTGTGTTTATGAATAGCATTTTTGAAAGGATAAGTAACTGTAAGGTCATTTTTATTGCTCCATTTTTTTAATAAAATTATGTTTACTCAATCAGCAATGACTTCTGAACATAGTACAGTATTTTATCTATTGCCCGCATAAAGAAAATTTTTGACTCTGATCTTTGGCGAATTTTAAATTTTTTTTAAAGCGTTTACATGATATGTACGTTATCGACACTATGCATTTGAAATATCATAATTATTTTGGTTTAAAATACTCTAGAATGTCAAATAAAGGATCATAATGAATTAATTTTTAAGATACATTTCTGTGCTTTTTATTTGTAAATAGTTTGGATTCATAAAATTGTTTTGATAAATAAAATTGCTAAACGCGAATAATTACATTCATCAAAGCAATTTTATGAATCCAAACTATTTACAAATAAAAAGCACAGAAATGTATCTTAAAAATTAATTCATTATG